GATTATTGGGTGTTGGACACAGGCGCAGCTTGGACAATGACGCCGCGCAAGGACCTGCTGGACGACGTACGAGCTGCTCCGATCAACGATGTGTGCTCCGCCTCTGGACACGCGCTGAAGGTGGCTGGTGCGGGACGAGCTGCGTTTAAGGGAGCGGATGGCAAGCCGGTGGTGCTGCATGACGTTCTTCTTGTTCCTGAACTTAAGGCCAACCTCATCTCCCTCCGTAAGCTTGGCAAGTCTGGGGTGAGCACTAGCTCGGATGGGGCACGCACTTATAAGGGGAAGCTGGGCAATCGGGTTCTTTGGGATCTGCACGAGAGCAAGGACGTGTACAGATCTATGTGGCAGCTGCCGGCGCTGGCGTGGCACGGTGGGGGGCAGGCTGGAGAGGGGTCTGCATCACAGGGGGAGTGCAACGCCGTTGGAGGGGTTGGTGTGAAAGTGTCGGCCAGATCTGGGGAGACAGATTGGGCAACTGCACACCGATGTTTGGGGCATGTGGCAATGCCTTTGCTGAAGCAGCTGGAGAAGGATGGAGCCGTTAAGGGCTTGAAGCTGAACGGACAACCACATGATGATAACTGTGAAATTTGCCTCCTTTCAAAGTTCACCCGTTTCCCCTTCCATAGTGTGGCTGGCAGGAGCAAAAAGCCGTTGGAGCTGGTCCACATGGACTTGGTGGGGCCGCTGCCGGTGCAAGGGCACAAGGGGGAGCGGTACTTCCTAACCATAGTGGATGACTGGAGCAGGCTAATGTGGGCGTATCCGCTGAAGGAGAAAGATCACGCCGCCTCCACGATTCGGGACGATTGGCTGCCGTTCGTGGAGAAGCAAGCGGAGTCTGTGGTGAAGCGGATTAGGACAGATCGGGGTGGTGAGTTTCTTGGAGCTGAGATGACGGCCTGGCTCAAGAAGCAGGGCATCCAGAGGGAGCTGACCACGGCTTACACCCCACAGTCCAACGGTGTAGCAGAACGGGCGAACCGGACAATTCAGGAGACAGCTAGGGCGCTGCTCATAGAATCTGGGCTGGGCAACTTGATGTGGCCCCATGCTGTTCGGCACGCTACCGTCGCTAGAAATAGGGTACTCACAAAGGTTGGGGATGACTCGTGGGTGCCGTTGGAGAGGTGGCTTGGGAGGAAGCCGCCGGTGGACATGCTGAGGGTGTTCGGTTGCATGGCAGTCGCCCACGTCTCCAAGACCTACCGCAGTCGGTTGGGGGCGAGTGCAATCTGGTGTGTGCATTTGGGGCTGGCTGCTGAGAGCAAGGGATGGCTGCTGTGGGAGCCTTCCAAGGGTGTGTTGTTTGACAGCAGGGATGTGAAGTTTGTTGAGGGCATGATGTATGGGAGCTGGGAGAAACAGCCGGAGGCCAGGGTGTCCCAGCAGATGGAGCAGATCACCATGCAGCTGGACCTGACTCCTAGTGTGTGGGAGGAGGGAGAGGAGGCAGCTGCAGAGGGTGGTGATGGAAAGAAGGTACAGGAGGCACCTGCTGGTGGAGAAAATGATGTGGAGACTGGCACTAGTGGAGCTGCTGGATCTGAGGGGAAAGAGCAGCAGCAGGGGAAAACTAAGAAGCCGAAGGGTGTCGTTATGAAGGGATGGGAGACACCCGTCTCCAGGCCAAGACGTACCCGTATGGCTACTAAGAAGCTGACTGCAGGAGCTGATGTAGCGGAGCAGCAGCTTGGGACTGAGGAGGCATTGCTGATTCTACCGCATGGCTATGACCCGGATGAGGAGGATGAGCCTGCGTACTGTTTTCTTGCCCCTGCACCAGAGGCACCAGCTAGCATGGAGGAGGCATTAGCTGGACCAGATAGGGACAAATGGCTAGCTTCTAGGGATGCTGAGTACCAGAGCCTGCTGGAGAATGGGACTTGGGAACTAGTGGTGCTGCCTGAGGGAAAGAAAGCGGTACAATGCAAATGGGTGCTAAGGATCAAGACTGACGACAAGGGACAAGTCACCATCTACAAGAGTAGGTTGGTGGCTAAGGGGTTTATGCAGAAGGAGAAGCGGGACTTCAATGAGATCTTTGCTCCCACTGCCAAACCCCCTATCCTTCGTGTCTTGTTGGCAGATGCAGCCGTTAGTGGGAAGTTCATTCTCCAGATGGAAATATCAACGGCATTCCTCAATGGGATTTTAGAGGAGGAGGTGTTCATGACGCAGCCACCTGGGTATGAGGATGGTACGGGCAGGGTGTGCAAGCTGAAAAAGTCCATCTACGGCTTGAAGCAGGCGCCACGCTGCTGGTACCAGAAGTTGGCAGCTGTTTTAGAGGAGATGGGATTCAGGACCAGCAGCTGTGATGAGAGCCTCTTTCTCAAGGGGGAGGGGGAGAAGCTGGTGCTGTTTCTGGTCTATGTGGACGACATTTTTCTCTTTAGCAGCAGCATGAAGGAGATCCAGAAGGTGCAGCAGCAGCTGATGGAGAACTTCAAGTGCAAGAACCTTGGGGAGGTAAAGTACTACCTCGGGATGCATGTGGAGAGGGATCTGGATCACAGGTGGTTGAAGCTGCACCAGGAGAAGTTCATCAAAGAGCTGGGGGAGAAGTACGGGATTGAGAATGAGCGCAAGGTTGCAACTCCCCTGCCAGCAGAATTCAAGCTTGTGAAAGCTGCAGAGGATGAAGGGGTTGAAGCCGAGGAGCAGCAGCAATTTCAGTCCTTGGTGGGCAGCCTCTTGTATGCAGCAGTTCACACGAGGCCCGACATCTCTTTCTCGGTTGGGCAGCTGGCTAGGGTGGTGCAGAATCCATCAGAGGAGCAGGTGGGTGCAGCTGAGCGTGTGGTGAAGTATCTGAACTCTCACCCAAGCATTGGAGTTCAATACTCCGCATCTGCACAGGTGAAGCAGAAAGGGGTTGAGGTGCTGAAAGAGAAAGGGGAGAGGCTTGGAGAAGGCAAGCTTTTTCTCACTTGCTTTACCGATGCTACGTGGGCCTCTGAGAAGGAGGATTCCTCATCTGTGGGAGGATACATCTGCGTAGTTGGGGGAGGACCGGTTAGTTGGAGGTCAAAGAAGCAGACGGAGACAGCACTCTCTTCCGTGGAATCAGAGTACATGGCGATGTTCCATGGGGTGAAGGAGGTGATTTGGCTGAGGAGGCTGTTGGAGGAGATTGGCCAGGAGCAAAAGGTTGCTACGCCGCTGTTTGGTGATAGCAAGGGAGCTCTTGGGATGGCCAGGAACGCTGTGCTTCATGGGCTGAACAAGCACATGCGTATCAAGTGGCACTGGCTGCGTAAGGAGGTGAAGAGGGGGACGGTGAATCCGATCTACATCAAGACTCACCAGCAGCCAGCAGACTTCCTCACCAAGAGGCTTGCGGATGAGCCTCATTGGCGTTGTGTGCGCATGAGTGGAATGAGCATGAACTAGTATGGAATGAAGAGGATGCAGCCGGCAGGCTGCGGGGGAGTGTGTTGGGTGCAAATTGACATTGCACGACATCCTGCCGTCTGTTTGTACGAGTATGCGTGGGCGAATGCATTTGCGTGTGAATGGTATGTTCGTGTGTTTGTTTGCTTTCGCAATTTTCGCTTGAAGCATTTGCAGGTACTCGCACAATGTGCGCTTTGGCATAACATTGTACGCGCTATGAACAGTACAAGCAGAAAGGACGAGCTCGCAAAGGAACCCAAGATGGAAGCTTTGTGGTTCGGCTTACTTGATTGCGCAGATTCAGTTCTATCAAACTCGAAATTGTACTGTTTTGTTTGGTTCACTATAGTGTAGCAGGGCAGGCACTATAGGGGTACAATTTAGGTGAAAGTTGGATGTTGTTTGTCTGTATCTGCATGCTACAGGGCCAGGGGAAACCAGCGGAACCAGCATTTGGCTGGTTGGGCAAAGACAAAACAGGTTCTGTTTTTAGGACCTGAACCTGGTTGTTGTTTTTCCAGGTTGGAAAAACAGAACCAGAGGTTGTTCACCAACCTACCACCTGCTATTTTGTCCAGCCAGGTAGGTTCTGTTGCTTGGAATTATTTGGGATCATCCCTGGTTGTTCCCAGGTTGATTCCCAAGGTCCTTGCTAGCTAGAGCTATTTATTCCTTCTCTGTTTGTACCTGAATATAGTGAAATTGATTCAAGCGAATTCCTCCCTTCCTGGAATTTTGTTTCTACGCGGTGCGACGGCGGAATGCTACCCGAGTCAACGCTAGTACGCTAGCACTCCAACGCTAGGCTAACGCTGTCCGAGCCATATCTTCGTAATGGCAGAACTTTTCGCGAGGCAACTTGGCTTATTTTAAAGCTCTTAGAGTGAGCTTCGATATAGGAAATTCTCAGCTTAATCCGATCTACGGTCTGCACAATATGCTGCGCGACGTTCAAGGTACTCTTGCTGTTTTGACTAAGTCCCTCTTGATCCCTCTCTCTACAAACTCGGACCCGATGATAGGGGCTGGTCTTGTACCAGGCACCCAAGGACCCTTGGAGGTGACCCCGAGGAGAGGTTTTAAGTGTGATAAAGTCTTAATAGCTTGAGTTTATTAGGCCCTTACACCAACAGCCGCGTGGCGTTGTTGTACTGGAACAAATTAGTCAAGTGGGTTTTCTCCCCAGGAGAAGCATCTCTTCTGAAGCGCCCCGGAAGCAAAGCATTACCACACCTCATCCATACGCCCCAACAGATTCATCCAGATCCATAAAACTTCCCATCGTCAAATCTCTCCAGAAACTTTGAATTCACTCGTCGTCTCCACATCACATATTTCATTCGACCTCGACCTCTCTTTCTTAGGTTTATCTACCACCTCCTCGTTCCGCCATCTCTCTTCCAACTTGTTCCGCCAACTCACTTCCTCCCCGATCCTCATTTCCAACTCTTACTGATCCGTCATTCCACCTCCTCACTTCCTCCACCCCGTTTCCTCCCAATCTAGCCATCTTACCTCGTCGCCATCGCGCCATCCCATGTCATCGCCTGATCCGCGTACCACCTCTTCCCCAGCCCGTCATTCCGCCTCCTCCCATTATGCGCCGTGACGCCGTCCACATCTCGCTTCTCCGACATCTCGTTTCCTCTGTGTTGCGCCAGGGAGTTTCCTATACCGCCATTCCACATCTTCACCTTGGCGCCTCTCATCATGTCACCTTGGTGCCTCTCATCCCGTCGCTCTGGCACTGTTCCTCCTCTTCACGTGTGCGCCATCCCATCTCCCCACCGATCCGCATCTGTACCTCCTCGCCTTTCCTCAATTCCTTTTCCTCCCCTTTCGGCATCCTACCGCGTCGCTTGTGCGCCATCCAAGTTCCTCGCCTTTCCGTCGTTCACCCCACTCCCCATCGCGATATCTAAAAACCACATCTTTCATCCATCCCACGGTCATCGCACCCCCTCCGCTCATCACCCCTATTCCTTCTTCCCACCATCCCCTTCTAAAACATTCATCCCATCCCATCCTACAACATGCATCCATCCCCTCCGCCCAAAACATTAATCCCTTTCCTCGCTCATACCATTCCCTCTTACCATATGCGTCCCATCCCACCCGTCCGTCACATTAATCTCTCTCTGCCCGTATACCATCTCCCCCATCCGATCCATTCCCCTGTGACGCCCTCCCACCACATTCATGCCATTTATGCCTAGCCCATTCCACCTCCTCCCCATTCCGCCCTCCCCCCGCCATTCATCTCATCTCCCCCAGCCATCCCACCTCCTCTCCATTCCGCCCTCCCACCGCCATTCATCTCAGCTCCCCCAGCCATCCCACCTCCTCCCCATTCCGCCCTCCCACCGCCATTCATCTCATCTCCCCCAGCCATCCCACCTCCTCCCCATTCCGCCCTCTCACCGCCATTCATCTCATCTCCCCCAGCCATCCCACCTCCTCCTCATTCCGCCCTCCCACCGCCATTCATCTCATCTCCCCCAGCCATCCCACCAACTCCCCATTCCGCCCTCCCACCGCCATTCATCTCATCTCCCGCAGCCATCCCACCTCCTCCCCATTCCGCCCTCCCACCGCCATTCATCTCATCTCCTCCAGCCATCCCACCTCCTCCCCATTCCTCCCTCCTACCGCCATTCATCTCATCTCCCCTAGCCATCCCACCTCCTCCCCATTCCGCCCTCCTACCGCCATTCAACTCATCTCCCCCCAGACAATCACCTCCTCACTATTCTGCCCTCTCACCATTCATCCCATTCCCCCCACACCATCCCACCTCGTCCTCATTCCGCCCTCCCACCATTCCCCCATCCCCCCACTCATCCCATCTTCCCCTAGGCCATCCCACCTCCCTATTCCGCCCTCCTCCCCCCACCCCATTCATCCCATCTTCCCCCACCCATTCCCACCTCCTCCGCATTCTTGCATTTCCCACTTTGCGACAACGCACCCCATTCATCACATCTCCCCCAGTCCATACCAGCGCGTCCAATACTACCCTTCACACCCTCCTCGTCCCTCCCTGCCCTCAAACATTCCTCAACACACCCTGCCCTTGCACCTGCCTCTTGGCCCGCCCCTCTCGTGACACTTTTTCAGCAAATTACTCCAGCCTAGCCCTCATGTTTGACTATAGTAGCATGAGAGATGCATCCATCAGCTATTGGTTTGATGTAGCAGTGCTTGTATATGTGCTTTGAAGGTCAATTGCAAAGCTTTGGTACTTTATTCAACATATGCTGCGGAATTTCGGGATCAACTAGCTCATCAAGCAATGGACGGTAGAAACTGGCTCAAAATTACATGTCCCGAGCCTGACTGCATTATTACATTCGCATCACAAGCTGAACGGACTAATCATGTTCGTAGTTTAAGGCATGAGTATGCTACTAGCACCACACGCAACAATCTAGAGCCTACAGCACCAAGCCCTAGTACGTCGTCACACGACGCAGCACCACCTGCGCCAATGCCGTCTGTCAAAGAGCCCCACCTTGAAAGAGCAAGCAGTGAAGCAGAACAATACACAGCCATAGATCGTCGGTTTTGGAATTTTTTGTAAAACAGGAAACGGTGGTAGCAGCCTCTCAAGAGAGTCGATCAAGGAGCGCAACTTACGCTAAAGACCATCGCAGATGTTAACAAGCTTGAGGCATCCCTTACGCAACGGGCGGTGCTACAACCATTTCAAAGGCTTGTCATCACGGATCCAAGCAAGAACAAGAGAGAGGTTATTCTATGGTGGCGTGCAACGTAAGCTCGCGTGGTTGACATGTACACCAATCCTGCCAATGCTGACGAATTTATAATTGCACATGGGACAGATGCTTCGGCGGAGACCGCATCGGATGAGGCACCGCATCGATATACAGATCCATCAACTGGCATGTTCTGGAGAGAAGCAGTTGAAGATCTTCCACGGGCGTCTATAGTGGGTGTCATACTGTACTCAGACAAAACTGAGCTTGCTAAGGATGGCGGAGCTTCGGAACATCCTGTAGATGTCGCCCTAGGGAACACGTCTTCTAAAATCAGGTGGAAGCCCAGTGGCAGGCGGATGACGGCCATGTTACCTCCGTTGCAAAAGCACCAAGTGCAACCAGGAGTGGACGCCACACGGCGCCGGCTTGAAATCGTACTGGCAGAGCAGAAGGAGAAGGAGGAGACGGGTGCTTTTCTGAATGATCCATACGGTCTCCTACGTTTTGTTCGACTCCTTTTGTATGGCGATGTGGGGGACTATCCAGAGCAATACAAGATCGCTGGGACAAAGGCGGGTCATCAAACCCAGTTTCCGTGCCTGAGATGTCAAGTAACGAAGATGAACATGTCAAACGTGGAAGCCGAACACTGTTATTGTACAGAGCAAGGACAAGTCCTCACCAAATCGATTATGTAGGTACATCGAAGCTCGAACCGTGTACTTGCATCCGTAGAGACGACGGAGAGTACACACGCCATCAATGTATGCACCATTGTCCTTCCATATTTGGAAACACTATTCATGCCCCAACTTGTTCTTTGCCTTTGATAGCTACATTCTAGTTTCTTACAATCTCACTAATAATCTCGCATACGCACTCAACTGCTCATATTTGCAGGTGGCGATATGGGGGTTCCCCAATGAGAATACGTCATGGGGAAATCCTTATCACGCATTCATGGGAGACATCATGCATCTATCACTACTTAGAGTGTTCAAGCATATCATCGATTGCCTGCGCTCGAAGGTACCTAGACTGCTCGGTCGGCTGGATGATGCTCTGCGTAAGATCACGGACTCTAGTCGCCAATCTATGTTCTGCCTTCCCTCATACGCGAAACATTACTTCGCGAACAAAGGGATATTCCAAGTGCGAGTTTTTTAAGCAGGAGTTGGAGTTTTTGGGGCACGTCATCTCACGAGACGGCATCAAAATCGACCCAGCGAAAATCAAGACCATACAGGAGTGGAAGTCCTCGACGAATGTCACGGAACTTCAGAGTTTTCTCGAATTCGTCAATTACGTCAGGCGGTTTATCCCGAATATGGCGGGGATAACCGGCCCGCTGACCGACCTGCTGCACAAGGACAGGAATTTTGTGTGGGGGGAGGAGGCAAAAGCGGCTCTCCAGAAACTCCAGAATTTTCTCGTTTCCCCCTGTGCTGCGCATCGCCGACCCATCGAAGTTGTCACCGACGCCTCAGATTTCGCCATCGGAGCCGTGCTACTCCAAGATTTCGGAAACGGGTTGCAGCCGATTGCCTACGAATCACGCAAGCTGCAGGCAGCCGAACGCAACTACCCAATCCACGACAAGGAGATGCTTGCAATAATATACGCGTTCAAACTGTGGCGCTGCTACTTGGTGGGCGCCGACGTCACTATTCGCACGGACCACAAGTCCCTACAGTACCTGCGAGCCCAGCCCAACCTGAACCCGCGACAAATTCGGTGGCTGGACTACATGGAGAGCCACTTCACCTACCGCATCACGTATAAGAAAGGGGCGAATAACATCGCCGACGCCCTGACCCGACCGACAATACAATCCGCTGCGGTACTGATCACCCATTCGAACCCGTTTCTTACCGGACTATTCACCCACGGCTACACTACGGACCCGTTCTTCACGACTGGGAACCATCAGCAGGCCACGACGCAGAAAGGGGATTATTATCTAAAAGACGGAACCGACCGGATTTGGGTTCCCGCTTACAGGATGCTGCGTGAACTCCTTAACCAAGAGGTCAACGATTCGAACTTCTCCGGACACTTCGGGGTTGACAAAACTCAGAAATTACTGCACCGTCAATATCAATGGCCTGACTCCTCTAACGACGTGCAACGATATGTGTCCTCATGCAGGGTGTGCCAAGCCATGAAATCGACACGTCAACGACCAGCTGGACTGGTGCAACCCCTCGAGCCACCCGAACGACCGTAGCAGCAAGTGATAATGGATTTTTTCATGGGGATGCCAGCCAAGCCTTTCGGCAACGACGCTGTGCTCGTCGTCGTCGATCGCTTCACGAAAATGGCGCATTTTTCCCCATGTCGAACGACAATCACAGCCGAAGAAACTGCGCGCCTCTTCACCTCAACGGTCGTGCGACTGCACGGCATCCCTTCGGCGATCATCAGCGACCGAGACCCGAAGCTTACATCGAAATTTTGGAAGGAGACGTGGGCGCAGTACGGCCCGAAACTACAGTTCTCATCGGCATATCATCCACACACGGACGGCCAAACCGAGCGGACCAATCAGACCATGGAGCAGCTGATCAGGACAAACTGCCCTGACCCTGCCCGCCGGGAAGAATCTCTCGCCAGGTTGGTTCTGTTGCTTGGAATTATTTGGGATCATCCTTGGTTGTTCCCAGGTTTATTCCCAAGGTCCTTGCTAGCTAGAACTATTTATTCCTTCTCTGTTTGTACCAGGATATAGTCAATTTGATTCAAGCGAATTCCTCCCTTCCTGGAATTTCGTTTCTACGCAGTATGACGGCCGAATGCTACCCGAGTCAACGCTAGTACGCTAGCACTCCAACGCTAGGCAAACGCTGTCCGAGCCATAACTTCGTAATGGCAGAACTTTTCGTGAGGGAACTTGGCTTATTTTAAAGCTCTTGGAGTGAGCTTCGATATAGGAAATTCTCAGCTTGATCTGGTCGACAGTCTGCACGATACGTTGCGCGACGTTCAAGGTAATCTTGTTATTTTGACTAAGTCATACTTGATCCCTCTCTCTACAAACTCGTGTTGGTGTAAGGGCCTAATAAAACTCAAGCTATTAAGACTTTATCACACTTAAAACCTCTCCTCTGGGTCACCTCCAAGGGTCCTTGGGTGCCTGGTACAAGACCAGCCCCTATACTCGGGTCCGAGTTGTTGGGTGCAAATTGACATTGCACGACATCCTGCCGTTTGTTTGTACGAGTATGCGTGTGCGAATGCATTTGCGTGTGAATGGTATGTTCGTGTGTTTGTTTGCTTTCGCAATTTTCGCTTGAAGCATTTGCAGGTACTCGCACAATGTGCGCTTCGGCATAACATTGTACGCGCTATGAACAGTACAAGCAGAAAGGACGAGCTCGCAAAGGAACCCAAGATGGAAGCTTTGTGGTTCGGCTTACTTGATAAGGTTTTAAGTTTGATAAAGTCTTAATAGCTTGAGTTTTATTAGGCCCTTACACCAACAAGCAGGTATCAGAGCTGCGTTATAGTGATCCTCGATATAGGTAGCTTTGGCGGGCAACACCTCGACGGGAGCTGGTGAATCTTCAGCCCAAGATCGTAGCGGCAGCCATGATTCTGGTGTTTCATCGCCAATGGGAGCACGAACAAGCCAAGGCTCGCTGGTCAAGGAGGTGCTGAAGAATTTCACCGTCGAGAAGTTCAATGGTGAGGGCTATGATGATTGGGCCTGGAAAATGCAACTTTATTTCCGTCAGATTGGATTGCTGAAACTAATGATTGGGGAGGAGCCTAGACCGAGTGACCCCGCGCTGCAGGAAGATTGGGACGAGCGCTCCTCGGCTGGCTACTATTTGATGTCGCAGAGTTTGGAGCTGAACCAGCGTCACCACGTCATGCACCTGCTGCCGGAGGTTGAGTGCGGTCCGAAGGCGTGGACCGTTTTGAAGAAGCTGCACGCCCCGACCTCCGTTGTTGCAACATTGATGCTGGAGAGGGAGCTGTCCGCGTTGCGCCTGAGCGAGGGAGAGCCGGTGCAACCTGTTCTGGACAAATTGCGCGACCTCTACGCAAAGTTGGCGACCGCGGGAATGACCTACTCGGAGCAGACCAAGTGCCTGAAGATGCTCTCGCTGCTGCCGGAATCGTGGCTTCAATTCAAGAGCGGTTTGAGCCTGCCGCAGAACCAGAGCTTGTGGACACTCGAGTGGGTGCGGACAAAGATTCTAGAGGAGGACTTCCGTCGCCGTCAAGTGAGGGGTGGAGACGACGGCAGCAGCGGCTACGGAATGCAAGGGAGCCGACGTGGCAGAGGACGTGGCTTCGGTGGTGCTGGATGCGGTGCAAAGAAGGACGACGACTCCAACGACCAACAAGGAGGTACCGGTTGGGGTCGCGGTGCGAAATCTGA